AAGACGACACATATTAGTAGTGGATTTAGGATTTAGAAAAAGTTAAATGCTTCCTGTTTTATTTCCTGTCAAATCAGACTCAGTGTGCGTTGCAGCACCGGTTGAACTCCGAGCTCACAGTCCTGTGTCTGATGTTCGTTACAGTAATTATTGTAAAATCTCAAAAATCGATGTGGTAATGATTTATTGATATGAAACACCAAGCACCAGAGCACCGTGCTGAATGTACAGTAGGAAACTGACCTGATCGGACTTTGCATAGGAAACTGGTCTCTCAACGTAAACACTCGCATAAAACAGAAGAGCTGATTCACCGCCGCCGACTGAACAGAGGTCAGACAAACAAGACGACACTGGCTCCATCAGCCACTGTGACAAACAGTCTGTGACAGGAGGACGATGGTTAATGGTAAATGGACTTGCACTTGTACAGCACTTCTCTAGTCTTACTGACCACTCAAAGCGCTTTACAATCCTCGCCACATGGAGACGATCAGGGCTGTAGTCACCACTGAGGTCACGTCCTCTGTGTTCTGGGGGATTTGATCCGTCACCACGTCTACGAACTTTCAGTTTACGACTCTGGGTTGAATGTTGTCCTGGAACAGCTGAACTCACGGATCTGATCAGAAACACTTACCTTGTGGAAGCTTTTTTTGTTTTAATGATGTACTTTTGTTCCCAGAGTGAATACATGACTGCCCCCTAGTGGCAGGAGCACCGTTTAAACACAAGGCAAACCCTGAGGAAGAAAGGACCTGTTGACAGTGAAGGTGACAGCAAAGTGTGTGACCCAGCAGTTATTCATGTTGTTCTGCTCCCGTCATAATCTTAGAGTTGTAGCGTTCAGGCAGCTGGTAGAAGCGTATCCAGTTCTCTGGAGGTTCAGGTTCAGGTTCAGTTCTCCGGGTTGATCCTGTGACCTTACAGCGAGTCCGTCAGTTCAAACCACATACCTGCCACACCAATCGTTCATTTAAGATCACTTTATTTTCACGTTGTCTCTGAGGACATGGCACTATCTGGCCTGCTGTTTGGAGGCGAGCCACCTCTCCCACTCCTCCTCCACCACCTTGTAAAGCTCCATCGTGGCCTTGGCATCCTCCACAGAAGAGTGACCCCTCTTTCCGGTCTGAGGACACAAGAGAGGCCGAGTTCAGCATCATGTTGGAGACATTTTTAAATCATGATGAAGGTTCAGCTTTGATTCTTATCACTCTACAGGGCGACTTTAAGCTGCATTTCTTTTCTCGATCATGTTATTTAATGTGTTACAGTGTTACAGACGGATAAAGACTGCACCAGGTGATTTAAATGCACATTAACGTATTGAAATCTTTAAAGACTGACACTGACAGCTGGCATCGTAGAATTCCCTCCTACCTGGATGTCACGGTTGAAAATGGCTTTGGTGAGTCTCTTCAGCGAGGCGCACTCGTTCTCAGCGAAGCCGGCCTTCTGGTTGAGCAGAGGGATTCTGGACGTGTCTCTGGTCAAGGCCGTTGGGTGAGTGTAACTCAGGACCTTGAAATCATTGTGGACGGCGTGGCCAATCACCACCTTCCCATTAAGCAGCCTCAGTATCTGCCAACAGAGGAGACACACACACTCGTTAGGTTTATACAAACTTATCCTGAACTACAATTAATAAGAGGAAAAATTTACATGAACGCAACTAGTTTTGAGCATAAAGGTGTTCAAGAGTTCAGCTGAGGTTTTAAGGACAACTGCTATTGGACTGTGACAGGTGGATGTTAAATATATTTTTAATTTGACGTATTTGCTAAATATTTTAAAGACAGTTTCACATTGAGTAGAAAATAATAAGAATTTCAGTTTTCCTAGAATCCAGGAATTTAATACTTTAGGAGTGGACAATAGTGAGAGGCATCTATGAAGCTCAAACACCATCATGCCGGCCTAGCCCTGCATGCTTTGTTACTTGATGCAGCTCAAGTCTGAATAAAACATGATTAAGTTTGTCCCACAGGACAAAAACAGAGACGCAAGGTTAAACAGAAACTGGAGGACAAACCGAGAAACAACAGCACCAGGAGAGACACACACACACTGCTGATTTACATGAATGACACACACACACACGTTTTTCTTCGTGGAGCTGCAGGGTCGATCTGATGTGGAGCTACACCTAAAATTTGTTTTCATTATCGGTTAATGTGCTGATCATTCTTTTAATGAAGCACTTAATTGCCTGGTCACTATTGTTGTGTTTGCTGTAGTCGTCCTGGTTGTTGTTTGACAGCTCATCTAGAGCTGAAACAATTAGTTGATTAATAAGTTAGTCAATCAACACAAAATTAATTACCAATTGCTTTGATAACTGGTTAAATACTTAAGTATTTTGTTGAATGAAGATACAAAATGTTGCAGCTTCTCAATTGTGAAGATTTGTGACAATAAATTGCAGATCTGCTGGATAAAACAAGCCATTACACCCGGGTCCTCTGGGAATGTAATGGGTCAGAGAACCACCGACAACCCCTGAACGCACCACCTCCTGAGAAGTGGCCAAATATAGCTTCACAAGCTCATCTCTCACCTCCTTCCGGGCCTCGGAGTACGGCGTGGCCTTGATGAGATCGCTGCGACGGATGCCGCTCCAGCGGGTGCGGTAGTCGGTGATAGGCAAGGGGGGGTTGATGAACTTATCGTAGACCACATCTCCATCGTAGGACACTATGCTGCAGCGTGCGAGCTGGCTGATGCGCCCTTTTGGTCCAGCGCCCACCATCTCACAGTCAAAAGCAAGGTACTTGGTGGGGTTTGCTGCTGGCGTGGCGGTAGGTTTACAGCTGCTGGATGCTGAGGGGCCCGGGGTGGGGGCAGCTGCTGGTTTTTTGTTCACAGGTTCCTTTGGCTTTTCGTGGCTTTCTTTGCTGCTCACAGTTACGGTACAGGAGGGGAGGCTGCGTGTGAAAGACGCTGAAGGCCTGAAGGAGTGAGAAGCACCTTGTGGGAGAGGTAAACGTTCATTTTGTGTGGAGGTGGGAGGCGGTGGATGATTTGAGCACGCTCCGTTGTGGCGTGGAGTCTGGTTGTGTCTGGACCGACTCCTGTGCCTGTACCGGTTCTGTCTCTCTTTACCTTCCACGTATCCTCTTTGCTCCAAGTTTTCTCCCCGAGGCCTCTTGTTTTTCCTTTTTCGCTTTCCCACCACAGTTCCCCCCTGCGCTGCATCACCAGAAGAGTACACGTTGATCGTAATGGTCGACATGGTTGTGGTCACAGCTACGCAGAAATTGCAATTAAGTTTTCTCCATGCGCATTCACACACAGCAATCATGCAGATGTTTTTGTTTTGAAGTCCTCAACACGTATTTGTCCTTTGTAGTCTGGCTAAAATCAGCTGAAACCAGAATAAATGGAACCTCCTGCAAAACAAACACAAACATAACATTATCAAACCCTCGCTTGTCTTTGTAGGATCACAACTAACATTTATTTTCAATATCAATTATTCTGTTAACTATGTTTTTGATTAATTGATTGGTGTATGAAATGTCAAAAAAATTCCAATCATAACTTCCCACTGCCCAAGGTGACGTCTACAAATGTCTTATTTTGTCCAATATCAAAAGATATTAAGTTTTTTTTTATGGTATATGACAAATTCTACCATGTGAGAAGCTGAACCCTGAGAAATTGTAGCATTTATTTTGATTAATTTAGCTTTGTAAGTAATTAAGTAAAGTTGATTTGTACAGCACCGTTCACAGATACAAAATCAAGTGCTTTACATCTATAAAAAAGTACAAAATATCCAAACACAGACAAAGAAATAGGACAATAAAAAGCAATACAATAAATAAAGTGCAGTAGAATAAAATAAATGACTGAAACTATTCATCAGCGGTCAAAATAGTTGCAGGTTATTTTTCTGTTGATCAATAACATGGGAGTTCCTATAGTTTAAATATGTGGTTTTCATTATTTTGTTTGACCTGGAACAACACATTCACATTAGCTTCGTTTTACACACAGCTGTGCCGGTTAATTACAGGATACTGACAAGAGCATGAACCCACATGCGTAATACACAATTAATATCGTAATAAGCTTGTGAGTTAAAAAAAAATCTAAACATCGATTTACACTGATATTTCTAAATTTGCTTTCGAGTTAAACGTTAGCTAACGGTTGTCAACGTTAGCTAGCCGTCGGTTGGTTCCCAGTGGCGGGAAGTGACAGTCCGTTAACGGAAAATTCGGTTCAGAGAGCTCGTGAACGTCAGCAGGTTTGATAACGATAGTTTCCCTAATAGGAAATCTCTGAAAATAACTGTGTTAAAGGTAAAACCAGACCTGCAGCTGCACACCGTGTAGACCGCACGCTTCCTGCTCGTTCCTCAAAACAAAGCAACGTCATCCGGGTCATGCTGCCTTCGGGGACAGTGGGATATATCAGTACAAACAATTTTGAATTTTATTTAGTGGGACGTCGCTATATCAATAACGTTTATTGGTGAATATAACATTAAAACCTAGATAATCAACAAGTGAACAATAACTCCAATAAAACATAATCTTGACTGTGACGTTTTCTTGTACTTTAATGATGTGTTATTCGCAGTATTTTTTATTTAACTTGGACGACATTTAATCCATAAAGTAAATGATCTGCAAGCAAACCGCCATTTATGTCTTTCAAAATGAACTAAGAAGATATATGGAAACTGTTCACAAATGGCAAGCGACTAAAAGCCAAAACAACAATTCATACATATAAAAATAACATAATGCTACAATACCCTTGCACTTTTTTCTATGAATTATTTATTTATTTTTAAATATACAGTATTTATTTTACTTTGCGTACCTTTTCTATTAATGTATGTTTGTCATACATACAGAGAAGTTGTTTTTTTTTTTGTTTTTTTAATAATAATAATCCCTAATAATTCAAAAATCCCTAAAACAGCTAGCTGTTTAGATTTACGGGGAGCACTTGAACGCCTCGGCATCCTACATGTGGAAGTTGACAGTTAGCTGCAGTGGCTAAAGGCTAAACGCAACAACCATTAATGAAATTAAAAAAAAAACTGATCTACGTTTTAAAGAGCTCGATTTTAAGAGCGAGTTAGTAACTGTCTGTGTATTTTAGGAGCACTTCCGTCTCACCGGGAAAAATAACGTCGCATTAACAAACATAAGTAGCATTAGTTCGCCTGTTAAGTCCCATGTCAGTTGAGCTAACAGCAGCACAAGATGTGGAGATGTTTACACCGAGTCTATCATCACAACAACAGAGAGAGCTGGCGGAAAGACTCACCACGTTTCTGTCTCAGTTCAGCCACTTATCTGACTCCTTCATAATCGTGCGTATCAATAACTGATCCTGCTGTGACTGTTGGCAGCTTTTCCCAGTTGAATATCACAGTGAATGAATGTTTTGTTTTGAAACAAAGATTTTAAAACTTAAAACAGTAACCGCCATGACGACCTCAGTTTCCTTGACAACGACGCATTTACGTTATTGCATTAATTTCATATTTGATTGTGCACATTTGGAGCTAGCTGTCAGATGTGTATTCCAGCTTTCATCCCACCCAGCTCAGTTTCATCTGTGTGTAATTTCATCATTTTGTGGCCCTATCATATACAGGGTCTAAGCCTGGTTGTAACACCTTTATTATTTGTTTATATTGAGCTGGCATGGTGCATTTTCCTAAATAAAGTTGTTTTTCTTCAGATCACAGAACCTCAGAATCCAGGTACAACCCAGATAGCATAATAAACCTGCTTCCACGGCCCGAATCTGGCCCATATACGACATGATTGTCAGATGCTACTTCCACATCTGGACCAATTCTGGTGCACACACAGAAAATCTTCCAGCTCTCAGTTAAAAACCGGAGGGTAACAGCTGGAAACCGCCCAGATGGGGAAGTATATGGGCCAGACTCGGGCTGAGGAGCCAGGTACATGTTGGGCCAGAAGTTTAATTTTGCTTTTTGTTGGTTTCAGAGTCTGTGTAAAATATAGTGAAGCTGCTATCTGTTGTATATTGTGGAGCAAAAAGAGGCACAGCATTAAATGTTTCCCCCAGGACACAAGCTACTATTTGAAAAGGAAAAAACCTTTATGCACATTTAGATAGATGGGTTCATATGCACTTAGTTTGTAGTTTGTCTGGTAACAGTTCTGTGTGTTGTTCCTTTACAGGAGTTCTTCACTGAGGATCTGTGGCACACGTTACCCAGCAGCTGGCAGCCCGTGCTGCAGGACCTGTCGTATCCACAGATTGCAGACCTTCTGCTGGACGCTACGCATGGAGACAGGAGGTACCACTGGACTGTAGTCAGGCCCTTTATAAATTAAAACATGAGCACGAGATAAGAAACTGAAACACAGAACAGCAAAAGGTTAATACACAAAAGATGATAATAAAGAAGAGATGCTAAACTTTGTCGTTGCAGATATCCCTCCGTGTGGCCTCTGTCTCTGTTGGCTTTCCGTGCCACAGCTCATGCTCTGGCTTTTCCCAGAGACTGCAGGCGGGAGCGGGGCCGGACACCCGGCTCCGTGAAGCCCGAGGAGTTCCAGGAGAACCAGAGCCAGAGCTCGCTGCTGGGCCACATCTTCAGGAAACACGTCAAACCCAAGAAACAACACGAGATCCGCAAGCTGGGGACGGTACAGGGCTGTTTATTTACTCCTTAACTTAAACTTGAACTTGTTCCTCTGTTAATAATATTTTAATTGGCTTCTTTTTCTTTTTTTTTAAATCCTCAGCTGGTAAAACAACTGTGTGACCAGACTGACTGCAGCAGAGTGGTGGATGTCGGCTCTGGACAGGTATTAATGAAACCAGATAAATACCTCGATTGCATTCAGTGCCAATGCTTTTTAAAATGATAAATGATCTGCAATATCTTTGTTAAAGACTGAGGTTATGGCAAATAAATTACGTTAAATAACTAAAACACTTTTTTAAGGTTAAAAGATACAGCTAAGACTGTGCTATTTTCTTTTAATTGTCAACAAATCCTGCAAAAATAAGTCATTTCCTGGCAGTTTATCAAATTTTATTCAGACAGGAGGAAATAGTGGATTTGTTTGGGACTATTTTTAGCGAGACGTGTCCACCACTCTTTCACAAACAGGGTCACCTGACTCGTTTCCTGTCCTTTGGGCTTGGACTGACTGTGACCGCTATTGAAGCTGATCACACCCTGGTTGCCGTGGCATCCAGGTTTGACGGACAGTTACTGTGGGCTCTGGAGAAGGAAAAGCAGAAAAAGGTCGGTGCTTCGCTGAACTTGTTACACACATATTAGTCCACTGAGAAAGAGCAAAGAGCATTAAACTGTCTGAACCACTTTATATTCCTCACTGAAATGTTCCTGAAGCCAAACAGTGAAGATTTTTGCAGTAAGGCCTCTTGACAATGAACCAGATATAGGTAGTATATCTCCACACCCTGCCACTAAAGCAACAGGAACAAATTTATACCTGTTTCTAAAGGGGTTGTCAGAAGGAAAATGTTGTTTTTTAATTATTTCTGTTGAGACACACCGGATTCTAAATTAAACCTGATTTGAGAAGAACTGATGTACCTAAAAAATAAAAATATAGCGTCCTATCTCCTTGAAAGTTAAAAGTTGATGTCTAACTGTGGAAGAGGATTGAAGGATGTATTTGATCTTGCAGTAGCTGATTTGTGGCCACTTGGGGGCAGCAGACAAGCCGTAAACACAACATGTCTACACAAGATGATATGGTGAACTCGATAGCAAACAGATGATCTGATTAATTTAAGTCCAATGTTCAGTCTCCTGTTTGTTCTCTACCGACTCCAGAGGGAAACACCTGGATCTTTAGCTGCTACATGCTCCACTGTGTTTCCCCAGCTCTGTGTGCTGTTTGCTGCTGAGCAGGAAGTGGACACTGACAGTGGGTTTATCAGAGCCGTTTCTCTGAGAAACAGCTGCTTCCTGCTGCTGCTGGAAACAACACTATGAGATCAGGACCAAAACCAAAACCAGCAACAGTTGCGAGCCATTAAAGCGACAGACTAGTTTTCATATAAACTAAGCTAGTAGCTAACTGAAAGATGAAAATCTGACCTGCGTAGTCAGATAAGTATTTACAGGTTTGTTATTGGTTTGTCAAAATGTACGGTGGCCGTCAGGTAACATGAAAACACTGTTTCTGCTCCCTATGTAGATATAAAGGGTTTATTCTAAGCTTAAAACACAATGATTCTTAGTTTCAGGTGATTTTACACTAATGAAAACATAGTTATGAATATTATACTTCATGTCTGACATTAGATCCACCTGAATCCTACACACTGGTCCTCATTTTGCCCCCGTTATAGATGCAACAAACCATCAACATGAATCTTAACAAACTTCTTTTATCGTCCTAGAACTGCTCGTTCCAGCTCCCAACATCACAGTCCTTTCCCCGCCATGTGGCCGGATGGGTGAACCCCAAGGCATCGTGGGAGGCTTTCATCAAGCAGCTGAGTACTGCAGATAGTTCAAGCGAAGCTCCTCCAACTCCATCTGGACCCAGCAAGAAGAGACTGCGGAGCTCCGAGCATCGTCGGGGGCGTCCGCGTGAGGTCCAGACTCATGGCTCCACAGACTCTGACGGTCAATCACGGGACTCTGAATCTTCATCACAACATCAGCTGAGCGGGAGGACATCTGAGGAGCAGACGTCCTCTGGAGACTGCTGCTCCTGTCTCCAGCCTGTCTGTCCAGAGCCGGTTCATCCTGAAGAAAACAGCCTGCCAGGATATCCAGACTTCGTCCTGACCGGTCTCCACGCCTGCGGCGACCTCAGCGCCACCCTCCTCCGCCACTTCGTCAGCTGCCCGCATGTTCGCGGCATCACCTCCGTGGCGTGCTGCTACATGAAAATCACAACCAAAGAAAACCCCGCCCCTCCGGGACTGGTGGAACCTCCCGCCCCGCTGACACCGGGTCAAGAGCCAGTGCCCTCAGAGTTCGGCTACCCGATGAGCTCCTGGGTGCGGGGGCTGTCGGGACATCAGCTGTCCTATAAGGCGCGGGAGGGGGCGTGTCACGCTGTGGAGGACTACGTGCGGAGGCTCAGGGAGGAGAGCGAGCTGCTGAGGACACACTGTTACCGGGCGACGCTGGAGACGTTCATCAGGGACACGAGGCCGGATCTACGCAGGGCGGGAATCCAGACCATAAAGAAAGCTCATTTATTACCCTTCACAGAGTGAGTAACGCTGCAGCAGGTCTGAGGTGCTGCCCATGTTCAAATGTTTCAAAGTAAAAGCCTCTATTTCCTCTGTCCACATCCTCTCCCAGGTACGCCCGTCTGGGTCTGGCTCGGGTCGGCCTGCCTCCAGAGTTACCCCTGGACCCGGAGCGGGTGGAGACCATGCTGAGGCAGCAGGGCAGGGTGGTGGTGTACTTCAGCCTGGCCCTGCTGCTGGCCCCCGTGGTGGAGACGCTGGTGCTGCTGGACAGGATGATCTACCTGCAGGAGAACGGTGAGCCAGTCGACGCGGTCAAACAGATTCTAACTCTCGGTTTAATCGGATCTGTTTTGATTCACCTGTTGATCTCTGTGCAGGTGTGGACAGTCAGCTGGTGGCTCTCTTCGACCCGAACTTTTCTCCCAGAAACTTTGTGCTGGTGGCTCTGAAGCCTCGTGAATAGAGAGGACAAAAAGGGGGAAAGTCTCCAGTCAAACGGTGGAAAAAGTCACTTTTACCTCTTGAAAATGAAAGATGACTCGTGGTTTATGTGATGGACGGTGCCCCAAGTCTTAAGGTAGTATTGCCTCTGCCTCTAGAGATGTTAAGGAATGGAAACCAAGTGAAGATGTTCTTTGAACATCATCTGAGCTGCAGACACATTTGTATAACGAATCCTTAATCCTTACTTCAGATGTTGGACATGCTGGAAATCTGAAGATCAGGGATCTGAATCCAGACAGTAGCTTTTACACCGTCCAAACATTTGGTTTTATTTACATCATGCACGTCTTCATGATCACACACTCATGTGTTTGAGTTTGGTTTTTATGGGATGTTTTTTTTCTGCTTACACAAACATACAGTTTGTGTTTGTGGTTTGGCTTGTTTTTGTATTTTATTGTTGTATTTTATTTTATTTTATCTGAAGCAATAAACAAAAGCAATGCTTTGAATTTCAGGCACAGAGGTTTGGCAACTTATTGCTACTGAAAGATGTTTTTTCAGCTTATGTTGGAGACGGAGCTGCTCCATCCACAAATGTGATTAAAGCTCCAGTATTACCCACCTGGGGGCAGAAGAGCTCCTCAACAAGCTGCCAGACAAAAACATTATTAATATTTTTACTGACACTAATAACGTCTTTTTTATATGAAGGTTAAGATATTGATTCACAGTAAATATTGTGGTTTTCATGCTCATTACAGGTTTTAAACATCCTAATTTACAGAATAACAAATAACTTTATCTGTCAGATAAATGTAGCGCAGAGAGAAGAACTGCCTGACCCAGTACTCTCTGGTAAACATTGACTTTTTTTTAGGGGTCTTTGAAATACACAAGAATCTGATATGTTTTAGAAAGAAAGTCGACTTCCGTCTCGCACTTTTCTTGTCATTTAACGTCACCCTGCAGGAGGGAATCAGCTCACCTTCTTCATGCCTCGCGGTGGATGTGCAATCCTGGAAGTCCCAAAGTTCCAGAGAACTGGAGACACTGATGTTTACAAAAGAAAACATACACACAACAAACCACATGTCCCGATCCTATTAGTGCTGAAAAACTTTCCATCCAGAAGTCCGGGTTACGGTGCCAGCTTTGTGCACAACAATTCTCGCCCCCCAGGGTTACACAGAAAGCACAAAATCACAACCAGATGTCGAGCTTCTTACACAGCCCTCGATTCCTTGCACTGGATGTTTTGCTGCTCTGAGACCAGCTTGGCTCTCACTTTGTGTGGAGCATTTTGTTGATATGTGACCTTAGCGGTGGTCCGAAATCAGTGCCTTGTTTGTAGGAACTCCATTCGTGGACTGGTACTCCACCTCCAGAGAGCGGGGCAGAGCGGCAGAGACGCACTGGTGTCAGAACCTCCAAGGGCTTTGTTCAGCAGCACAGAGCAGTTTTTGAGATTTCTTTAAACCATGAAGCATTTCGTCTTGGTGGTTTTGGGATCGTTGCTGCTGTCTCCTCAGCAGGCACACGGCGTGAGAGATGACAGGTCCAACTGCAAACCAATAACATCCAGCTTTTGTCAAGGCGTGGGATACACCACCACCCTCCATCCGAGCGGCGCCTCGGGCTTCAGCCTGCAGCAGATCGGTCAGATCGTGGAGACGGCCTGTTCGCCAGGGGTCTCCATTCTCATGTGTCGCACCGCCCTGCCCGAGTGCGGCTCGGAGGACGACAGCCGCAAGAAGCCGTGCCGAGCTCTCTGCGAGAAGGTCAAGACGGACTGCGAGTCTGTCATCAGGGCGAAGCGGCTGTCCTGGCCGATGAGGCTCCGGTGTGAATCTTTACCAGAGTCCAACTGTGTGCAGGTAAGTGTGAAAGGGAAGAGTTAGTTTGACAGTTTGGGAAACGAGAAGATGAAAACCAAACATCCACTTGGGTCAACCAGAAATCCAGTGTCCCATGTAGGCACAGACAAATTTGGGTTGAATTTTCTTTGCAAAATAAAGGAAAAATGGCAGAAGTAAGATTGATTTATGTTTCTGTTCCTCCAGGGTGAAGAACCCCGTGTTCCTCCGACCTCCCCTCCGACATGTCAGACGATCACTGTCCCCCTCTGCTCAGGCTTAACTTACACTGAGACTGTGCTGCCTAATATTCTAGGCCACAACTCTCAGGAGGAGGCGGGCCTGCAGATACAACGCTTCGCATCATTTGTGAAAGTGGAGTGCTCCCCTCACCTCAAGTCTTTCTTGTGCTCCGTCTTCACCCCCAAGTGTGTGGCGGGAAGAGCTTGGCCTCCCTGCAGGACGCTGTGCGAGCAGTCGCGCTCCGGCTGCGAGTCGCTGATGAACAAGTTTGGCTTGGAGTGGCCTGAAGAACTCAAGTGTGAGGCGTTCTCCACAGAGACGTGTGAACACGTGAGTCTAACATGGAGAGGACTGAGATGTTGTGCGGGTGCTCTCGGTACCGTAGCAAATCTAAAGGTGCTCTTGAAGTTGAAATGGTTACCAAGACAACAGGAAGCTGCTGGGCTTACCTCTGGCACACTCGCACAAAGGATATAGTTAAAATGCTTTTATTGTGTCAGGGCATATCAAAGTAAGAGGCTCTCTTCCCCAAATTTAAGTTGAAGGGATTTGGCACAAACATTCACTTGGAGTCAAAGGTCAAAGGTCACTGTGACCATAACTCACAAATTCTTATGGCTAATTATGACACAAATGAACTCAAAACATCTATGAACATAAAATGAGGTGATGACCTTTTTACATCCAAAAGGGTCAAAGGTCAACTTCACTGTGACATCATAATGTTCTGCAAAAACATCTCTATAATGATAATCTATATTTGTCCCGCTCAGTTCCTTTTTTAAAGGCTTGTGTCACTTGACTCCACTGATTCATGTTTCTGTTCATCCAGGGTGAAGACGCCATTTTTACTCAAACATCCTTAAAAACGTGCGAGAGAATCACTGTCCCGCTCTGCAAAGACCTGCCGTACACCGAGACTGTGATGCCCAACATCCTGGGCCACAAGACTCAGGAGGACGCGGGTCTGGAAATACATCAGTATTTCCCTCTTGTAAAGGTGGAGTGCTCCCCACACCTCAAGTCTTTCCTGTGCTCCGTCTTCACCCCCGAGTGTGTGGCGGGAAAAGCCCGGCCTCCCTGCAGGAGGCTCTGCGAGCAGGCGCGCTCCGGCTGCGAGTCGCTGATGAACAAGTTTGGCTTTCAGTGGCCTGAATCTCTCAGGTGTGAGGCGTTCACTATGGAGTCCTGTGAACAGGTAAGTGTGATCTCTTTAAATCCAACAGAAAGGCTTTTTTATGTTTAATCACATAAAGATTCACCAGAGGAAGAATCTTCAGGCGATAAAAGCTTCATCATAACTTTTTAGTTTATTAAAACAAAATGTCCTCTGTGCATTTGTCCCAAAGTTCCAGTTCGAACAGTTTTGCCACGGTCAAAGGGAGTTGGACTGAAGGTGTGCACTTGTGTCTTGTTCCAGTACGGCGTGAGCAGCAGTGGGGGGATCTGTGAGCCCATCACCATCCCCATGTGTCAGGGTCTGGCCTACAACCAGACCATCATCCCCAATCTCCTGGGACACACGAGTCAAAGAGAAGCCGTGATGAAGATGTCCTTCTTCAACTCCATGGTGCAGACCGTGTGCTCGGTGGACATACGCCTCTTCCTGTGCAGGGTGTACGCCCCCCAGTGCGTGGCGGGGGAAGTGCAGCGGCCCTGCAGGTCCTTCTGCGAGAGGGCCAAACAGGGCTGCGAGAGTCTGATGACCAGCTTCGGCGTCTCCTGGCCGAATGAGCTGGACTGTAACTCGTTCCCGGAGGAAATGTGTATCTCAGTGAGTGAGAGAAGAAACTAGAAGAGTTGCGTTTGGTGAAGGACGTGAATCACTGGATATTTTATCGGTCATATCTTTACCTGACATCTTCCTTTTTTTTCTTCTGTTACAGGAGGAGAGCAGGACTGAGGTATTTGGTTTTCAAAAATTGTATGTTAAAAGTTTTGTAATTGCCCGAGATATAAACATTTATATTATATTTTATATTTGTTATGTAGATAAGTAAACAACATGGCGGTGTACCATGTCGGTCTAATCACAATACAGTCCCACAGTGCAGGGGAACTGGACTCAAACTACAAAACAAACCTGAATAAATTCCAAAAAAGAGAATTAAATAACAAATAATTTAAAGGTATTCTGTGGAGGTGCTTTCACAGTATTTCACTGATTAACATGTGGTGATAATGTGCCAAGAAACACAGCAACGTGTCAGTAAAGGCAACACTAAACTTAAACACAAACCTTATTAGTTCACAAGAAAACTCCACAGAGCACCTTTAGAAACATAAATGACCATTATTATTATTATTATTACCCAATAAAAGAAACGATACAGACAAAACGTGGATCAAATATTGTAGGATCATTTAGTGTGATACAGCTCTGTGTAATTCAAGCCGTGATCCATTCCCCTAACTCTTATTTGTTCTTGTTTCCAGCAGATGCTGAATGTTGAGACTGTTCTCGCTAAGCTGAACGCCGGTGGCTATTCTGTCCGTGGCAAATGTCAGTTTATTTTTCCACCAGTTTTAACATCTTATCATCTGAAAGATGATGTTTTTTGTTTTTTGTTTCCATCCTCATGATCTCATTTATTTCCCCCAATCAAGCCCTGAGTCTCAAGACTGCCCGCCTGCTGCTGATTCTCATGGATGTATCCTCTCACTACTTTCACTGCTCTCCTAAAAGAGGATTTTTGTTCAGTTCACTAACCAAGTAACGGATCACCAATCTGTCACACCGAACTCAGCTGTAATCGGAGCCACAATAAAGTGTTGAGCTGTGTGTTTTCTATCCGTTAGAGCTCTTTAACAGCACTTTCAGGCAGACAAGACCGGAGACCTGGATGTGTTGGAGTTCTTCAAACTGGAGCATTTTGTGGCCATCGTCAGGAGGGAGTATGTGGAGAGCTACGAGAGGAGGACTCCACCCTCCGTCACTGAAGCCCAGTTGAAGAGGGCTCTGTCTGTCCATGGTAATATATTTCTATCGCTAATAGTACAGTGAGAATAACAAATTCCCTTTGTTTTAAATCACGCAGAAGCTTTTGGTGTCTTGTTGTCTCCGTCGTGCAGACTTCGGTGTAGATGATGAAACCTTCCCAATCCTGTGGCTGAAATACGGCTCCCGGAGTGGGATCGACTATGACGAGTATGTGGCCGTCATAACAGAACTGCAGATCCTCAAAGGTCGGTATGAGCAGGCGGAACAGCTCCTCTAGGTTCATGACTGTGGCTTCTAATTTAGCTGCAATCATTTCTGCAAATCTTATCCTCCGCCACAATTTTCCAAATGGGAAAAATATTGTCTGACGGAGAAATATGAGTGTTTCAAATTGAAGAATCTGAGCTGTAATTGTAGAACGGAAACTTCTCTGCAGGTTGTTTCAATTCACAAAATGTCCAGAAAAGTACTGAGGACATGTACATTTGTGTGTCCTGTAAAACTGCTGCACTGACTCACTAATGTTCAAAGTGAGTGAAAGAGCGGCGTCTGATTTTTGATTAAATAACAGATTTTTGTCAAAGCGAAGTGCAGATTATTCCCCAGAGAAAGACTGATTTTAAATATATTGTACATTTTGTGTAAAAATTCAAAATATATTAATGTTTTTTTCTCAGATCGTTTCAAGGCCCATCTCCTGAATTTGCCGTGTGACTGCCAAGTCGCCAGCTTCTCTTTCAAGCAGGTGAGTTTAAATGATTGTGATTATTATATTGTAAAAGAAATTCTACCTCAGGTAGCAGTGGCGTAAATGCTGTTTATTTACCTGTTTGTGAGTCTACAGAACAAAAGATTTCAAGCACACTTAAAAAGATGTGAAATAATACATTAAAAAAGGTTACAGAAACACTTCATAATCTTCACTATGATTTCAAACAGTATCTCTATGTCCATATGTACAAAACAATCAGCAACTATAGTGGATTATTTAAGGTCATCATGTCAAATAGTGGGCAATAGTGGAAAATGTCTAAACTGTATTTTAAGAAGAAGTTTCCAGACTCTGTATCAATTAAACTTGTGCTCACAGACCGATACAAAAGATAAATCAAATACAGATGCTGATAATGGAATACATACGTAAGTAGATTTTCAAAGCAATGATAATAGTAATAGAGATACACACTGTAAAAGCTGGGATTACAAAAGCTTGAGAATAATTTTCTAAAGCATGAAAAACGTTATAATATTGGTTATAATAAAATAACAGGATAAAATATGTGACCTGTAATTTTTTTGTTTTTTTAAACATTAAAAAAAAATTGTCAAAGTAAGTTACTTGGATTGGAAGTGGATGATTGGATGATATATAATATATGTATATAATGAATATTGAATAATATTTCAAATATGGCAAGTCCTTGTTATTTCATACATGGAAAAATAATGAAACAGTCAAAATAAAATTGAATTATCCTTTAGATCTGCTTAATGAATGTTATATTATAAAGAATGAAAAACCACTTTTTAAATGTGTCTATTTACATCCAGTGCTGCATGTCAAAGGTTTATTGTGTTATTGCACTTTTAATAAGTTTTTTCTCTCTCTCTCTTTTCAGTTCATGAAATCGGCCATAATCTGAGGATCAAGCAGGAGCTGAGCGCAATGAACTATGACATCATAACTGTTCAGTAGCACAGAGCTGTAAGGGACTAATATAAATGGTTATGAATCCATTTATCATCTTCATTAACAAACCATTGTTAGAGTATTAAACTATTAAAGGGACATTGAGCTTTTTCTTATTCATGCCTGAAGTTTTTGTTGGTTTTAGTTGCAAAGTGCTTCTTTTGTGTGTGTTTGTATTTTCAGATCAAATGTATGATCAGCCATTTTGTGAAATTTTCACATCTCACATTAAAAATACTCGGTTGCAACAATCATTAAGCTTTTTCATCTAAAGACAAAAAAGGAAAATAAGCTTCTCCGTGCCTAACACAAATACACTGAGGAGTGAAATGGTTCCGTCTTAATTCTGATAGCAGGGTACACCGGCTCAGTGAATGTGGTGTGGTAAGTGTGGATGTGGATCAGCTTGTCAGAGGAGATGGTGTAGAAAGACAGTGTGCCAGCAGCCCAGTCCAGGTACATCCCGACTCTACCAGAGTGGCGTCTACGGATGGACGCTCTTCTGTTATTGTGCAGGATAGAATAACCATTATCAGAGCAGCTCAGACTCCAGGATTGATCATTCCTCCCAAGACAGCAGTTGTCACCCTCTCCTCTCCTTTTGATTCCTTTGTAAGTCACTGCTATGTAAACCTGTCCCTCCCACTTCACCTCCCAGTAACAGCGACCAGTCAGACCTTCTTGACACAGCAGCTGTTTCCAGTAGTCAAATCTCTCTGAATGATCAGGGTATGGCTGCTTCTCTCTCCCCACTGACACTTTTCTGTTGTTGTCCGACAGTATGAGTTTTCTGTTTGCTGTGTTTGGGTCCAGAGTGAGTTCACGGGCATCTGATGTAGAGAAAATAAAGCAGCTTTTTTCCAATTTGACATATAAAATTTTAATACTTATTAATTTACTGCATTTACTTTAAATAGAAATGATATTGTTCAGACTCTGTTCTGAAATTGTTTCTAAAAAACAAATAATATATTAAAGATTATAAATTAACAAAACCATACCCAAATAGAATAAAGCAGTTAAAGAAGTGAAAGGTTTCTTTACTCTGCCTTATGCTGTACACTCACCTGTAACTATTCGCTTTTGTTAACTACAGATTAACATTTTGTGCAAAGAACATTCACATTTTTGACCAAAGGTGCCAAACCACTCATTTGTTGTTACTGGATAATCAGTATATCTATTATCATTATCACTGACAGTCCTCCTCTCATACAACATCCCTTTGTAGTTCGTCTCTGACTGACCCAGCCTCAACTGTACTTTGTGTATAGTACTTATTTGCAAATAACTGCAAATAACTAACACATCAAACAAAGTTGGTTAAATAGTAAATATTAAAAAGCACACTTACACTTTTTCAGGCCAGATGTTATTGACTGTGATCCACCATGGTCCATCCTGGTTCGAAAACAAAGAAAGAACAGCAGTCAACAACTCTGATATCCTGGTTATCAAAGATTATCCCCAAATCTTTTTTTTATTATATGATACAAGACATATCATGAGCGAAATAGCAGTCAACACCATTGCTGAGTATTTCCACCTTGGAACTGCAGTTTACTGTTGGGACTCAGGACATTTTAAGTTGATGGAGCCCTCAGCTCTTGTTGTCTGTTCTACAGACAGTAGAACTCACTTCCCCACAGTTCTTCACCGACCCTCCCCCCTCGGTCGAGCTCTCATGTTCTTCAGGTAGAGTGGTGTCGCCCTCCCCCCCTCCACCTTTGTCTTCAGACTGACTCATGGTCAAATTTACACCTTTAGACAAACAAACCAAACATGCTGTGTTAATTTTAATCAGTCCTGTCAATAAACAAATACAGTTTGGAAGCAAAGGGTCTGAATATGTTTGTAAATTAGTTTGTAATCTTTTGAAAACTCTCAATGCTTTCACTTTGTCATTACGAGTGTTGATTGATAAAAATGGAAGTTTTATACATTAAAGATTAATTTTACAACAATAAAGTGTGCACTGTATACACTGTATATAATCAATACAAATTAATCATATGTACTAGACTGATTACAGGTTTTGTAAACCACATATTTGTCTGCAAAGTAACTGGAAACTACATCTTAAACCATGTAATGGAGTCAAACGTGCAATAGTTCCCTTTGACATGTAGTAAATAAGAAAGTGGATGTACCTCAAAACTGAAGTCCTTTGTTTCCCTCTCCTCTTCAGTTTTACAAAGCTCAGCTGTCTTACATTTAATTCTTTACACTTTTTCCACTGAAAAATGACGCAAAAAAAATCCCCCACTATTAATTCAGATTTCACACAAACACAGAAGACACTTGTTGAGAGTTTAGTCGGCTTCTTAACACCTTGCTGGCTGAGAACATGAAGGGAGTGACCATGGCTGAACACGGACTGAAGGTCTGGGATGCTGGTGATCTTGTGTGACATCTAGTGGCAGTGATGATTTCAGGCAATTAGCATGAAATGTGACAGTAGGTAATATTAAAATCTATTCCTGTCTCAGCCATTTTTAACACAAATTCATGGATTGCTTGTCCTTGTCAAAAGAATACAACAGACGATCGACAATTTGCGCCTTTTTTGTCGCTGTTTTTTATCTACTAACGACATCTGATCAACCCAGTACAAAGTCATGTCAGTGCTCTGTTTTAGCAATTGTTAAGCAATGAAACAAGTTTTATTTACGATTTAAAGTTTAATCCACGGTTTCACGTATAAATCAATCCAATAATAACTGGTCTACCTAAACATCTCGTTATCGGTTGGCAAACGACGTCGGCAGTTGACAGATCTCGCGAGAGTATGGCGCTGACACAGAGGCAGGTCTCCAATCAAGTAAATTTTCTCCTGATCTGTTGATCTTAAAAATGTAATTTTGATGTCAGAATGTTTTGAAAACGTGTGTCTTGCGAAAACTGGGTCCAATATATATTTCGGTGACTATGGAGCGAAACAATCTGTGATAATCTGTGATCTCGTTCACTTCGCCCATTGGAATGAATACAACCAGACCTGCTGCTGGTCTCCTAGAGGCGGGGGAGGTGGAGACAGATACAGGAAATAAACAGAAGCGTCTCGGTTTCTCTACTGTCTCTGCTACACCCCACTGTTTGTTATTGTTGAGCTAAACTTTTGTTTAATAAACTACTTTTCTTAAACCGTTCATATGGTGTGTCTCACACATATGTCATGGTCCAAAAGGGTAATAATTACATTAACATGTCCTTCATTTTCATAAATCTGATAGAATCATACAGTATGAGTACGATGCCAATGAGCAACAAGAGAGGGGCACAAAAACACAAATAATCATGAATGTATGCATGTGTATGTATGTGTGTATGTATGTATGTGTATGTATATTCCAAAACACAAATTAAATAGCCGTTTTCGTCTTATACATTTGCCATTTAATTTTATATATAACTTCGCTTGAAAGAACGAGCGAGCGACCGAATATTGACTACATACTGCAACTTTAACTTAAACTCTCTCAATGTTCTGATTTTACATAATTAATCGTAATCATTATTTCAACCCTGCACAAATGTGTCAATCTCTCACACGTCTTTAGGTATATATCCTTAAACCGCAGTTGTTCTGTAGCATATCAGGGGTTTTCTCCCTTTGTGTCTGACATCCTGTGCCTTTGTGGCTCAACGACGCAGTTGTACTAAGGCTTCTTTTTTATAAGCGTTTTAAATTCTCACAAACAGACAGCAAACAATTAGCCTAAATATGGATTAAGAGTTTCCGATATTCACGTATGAAACACCTTATCATAAAATGATGTCTTACCGTTACAATTACATCCATCGAAAGGGAAAGTGAAAGTATTTTTGCAGCTCTGTTTAAGGAAATGGGTGTGATTTCTGATAAGGGCTCTGCACTAGTTCTAGAAATACTGCAAAAGAAACAAGGCTGTAAGGAACCCCAACCCTAACCCTTCTGCTGCTGCTGAAGTCTGATGATCCCATATCGGCTGTGGATATTTCTAATAAAACACAAGTCTTTTGAAGGACTTATAAGCAACAACATAAGATGACTTTATTTGAACTGTAGGCTGTTATCAATCCAGGGGAATTCTTTTTTTCTTTTTCAAAAACTGCTACTTTAAATTATTAGCAAGACAAAAAAAAAATAAAAAAATAAACAATGAAACCTACAGTTCATTTCTTACTAGACCATGAAAGTTTGACATATATACCTACCTATTGTATGCATAATTCATGATGTTTTTTTGACCACCACAGGTTTCTCCCAGACTTGTTCAGGTTCTAAATCCAGTGTAAATCAATTTCATTTAACTTCTGTCAGACTTTTGGAGGTAAAGTTATTTTTGAGTGACTGTAAGCACTGATTTTTCTGCTAAACATTCCACTTCCACTCATTATTCAAATAACATAACAATATTTTTACTGCACAAACTGAGGCTAAGGGAGATTGTGATACTGTTTTGATGCCATTTTTCACACTATATTTTGATTCACACCCACCATATTAAATAAATGTCTACTATATGTACTGTTTGCACCGGTCTCTGCTGTCAAGTCTTGTAAATATTGCTTGGTTGTTAACACAATCATATGTAGCAAAAAAAAAGTCAGTAACCAATTTACAATAAATGTTATGTTTAATTGATTGTATCTGAATCTGGCTGGAGGTAAATATTCAAAGATGTACGTGCATTTGTGAAATATATAGAGTACACATACGCCCTGCTTCTGCAAATTCTTCATGGTTAAAATGTTAAGTGAGTGACAGACATGAATGTCAACTAACCGGCTTTGTTTTAAATGTTCTAAAATGAAATAATAAATAACTACTATTGCATCACATGTTCTTATTTTGAGAGCTGCTGGCTTTTTCCAGGTAACAAGCAAACTCCTCCCCCCATTATTCCCCTGGTTTCTGGCACCTGCTGGCTGGCCCTTGAAACCCCATGTTGAGCTCCAGCCACTCCCTCTCACACTGCAGCCAGGCTCAGCAGCATTCTTATCAGCTACCACTTTCTGTTTTATTTGTTATCTTTTACTTATTTTGTTTGTAATAACCTTTGCTGTGCAAATCATATCGTTCAATCTGACTAAATGTTTCACAGTTTGCAAAAATGTAACTAGCCACTTAATTTGAGCTGAGTTAGAAGCTGCACCACAGTGTTTCTCATAAAGCTTCACTCTCAAATAAGTTGTCATATGCATGATTCAACATTTTAGTAAGATCCAAGTGAAACAAAGTAGTGCAGAAAAGCATTAAAGGAAAACTGTGGGCTAGTTAGATTTTCTTAATCTGAGGCTATTCATCTGTTCAAGTTTAATTTAACCAGAGGAGAGGAGAGAAGACCTACAGGAACAGCTTGTATCAAATACATGTAACTTCTTTTAAAGTCCATGAAAATGTGGTTTCACAGCTTAAGTGTTACTTATAATAAGTATATATTATGAAATATAATATAATAAAATAATATATAAATATGTATAAAGTAAAAAAAATCTATTTATCACGAGTGTATGAGTGAAACACCTTGATAGTAGCTTGACAAAATAAAAACACATCCCCACAATTCTCTTCTCTGGATTCAATTAGGCTCCTGCTAATTCCTGATTAGTTGTGACATGCTTTTAAAATTGAGCCTTGCCCACTTCAAACCAAGGAGAAGAGCACAAGCAAATCTCTAATATAATAATAAATAGTCAAAAATAACCATCTAATTTTGTTAAAAATAATGTATGTTCGTATCGGGGACCCCATTGGCAAGAAGCTGATCAGGAAAAAGGTTTTTGAATGTGTGTTCTGTATGGAGTATAATAAGTGTAAACATTTTGTCCATTTCTTTCTTTCCCTTCCTTTTTCTTTTCTGTTCATTTTGTGGAGGTTTTCACATTCGTTACTTTAGCAAAAGTAGCAATAACACGCAAAAATACTAAGTAAAGATTAAGACTTGGATCCCCCAAAAGGAGTTAAAAACAACTAACCTTGACTTTAGTTGAACGTTTCATCTGCCTGCCTCACACCCATCAGTGGCTCGCGTCCTCATCCCACACACCGCGCAGACACTGTAGGTAAATGTAATATGTAGTAGATAACTACGTAGGTTGTTTGATACAATTTACTTTCCTACTGTCAGAGGTTCTGAAATAGATTGTTAAGTACCTACAGATGAATGCTAATGTTAGCGAGTTTCTAACTTTAGCGTTAAATTATACTTGAGTGAACTAATGTTAGCTAGTTTTTAATTTTAGCCTTAATTTACAGTTTAGCTAACTAATGTTAGTTAGTTTCTAACTTTAGCGTTAAATTATACTTGAGCTAACTAATGCTAGCTAGTTTTTAATTTTAGCCTTAATTTACAGTTTAGCTAACTAATGTTAGTTACTTTCTAACTTAAGTGTTAAGTTACAATTACAGTTAATGAAACAATTAAAAGTCATACTGACACATACGGATAATGTGCTTTAATAACAGTTCATGCCTGTTAGTTGCATTAGTTAGTTTCATTTTCCCTGAATGACAGACAAACCGGTGAGGAATTCCTTCAAGATGTTTCACATGACAGTCACACTAATCACTACCCGGTGACCAGGTGAGTCCTTTTGTCATTTCGAAAGTCAAGAAAGTATTTAAAGTAGCGTCACTGTAGGTAACAGGTGTTATTAAGTAAAACACCTTCGAGACAGATCTAACTGACCTTGAAGCCTCAAGCCCAAGGAAAACCTGAAGAGAAAAAGGCATCAGTCAAAGATTTTCATTGAAATCCTGACAGACTGCTGGACTGAAGGTAATATAATTTTGCATTAACCAGTGATTAACTGATTTCCTGTAAGATTATGTCGTCTTTTTCCCTTGAACATGGTGGGCCAGTTATGGTTGACAGGTCACAGGGAGCTTGTATTTTATCCTCCAGCTATAAAGCAAAATAATAATAGTAAATAATGATAATAATAATAATAATAATAACAATAATAATAATAATAATATAAATAGTTATATTTACAGTGGGTATTTTGAAGCAAGGTGAGTTAAAGTAAAGAAAGTGTTTAATTATATCAGTGGTTTAATAGAAGACAATAGAATCGGGTGCAGGGATTTTGGCATACTGGGCACAATCTGAATCTGCAGGCTATGTGACACCCACTCGCTTTTTCTATACACAATCATTACAGTAGGTTTGGGTGTAAAATGGTTCACACATTTTTCATAAATCCCCTGAAATTACTCATTGGCTAATATTGCACATGCAGTACTTACAGTGAGTCAAATGGGTCATACAGGTTGTTACAGGTTGGAGGTCTGAAGCCACAGGAAGTCTCCAGTGCCTATGCTCTGTGGGGTCAAAAATACAGGAGTGTTTTTTGGGTACATGCATCCAGCGAGCAACTTTCATTGAAATAAACGGGGCACCATCTCAGAACAGGGCATCCAGCGTGTTTCATGCATATACAGACTCCCCAGGACAATTATCTGGTCAGACCAGATGGTCCAGTTAAAATACCTGACATGGCAGTGCCCTGTTTCACTGTTTATTGTATATGAGTGGTATCTATGTTGCTGCTGTTTCAGGATGTTGCTGTGTGCCTGTGTGATACTCTTGGTGGCCTCAGATCTGGGCTTCTGTTTGGATGAAGCCGACCTAGACGCCCAGTGGGAACAGTGGAAGAACATCTATGAATTCGAATATGTATGTACATATTGTCTGTTATGTTATATTTAAGTGAATAAGTTAAGTAGTCTGCCCATTCATGCCAATAGAATAAACTGTTATTGGAATATTTTAGGATGATGATGATGTTGAAGAGTACTGGAAGGAGAACTGGAAGGAGAACATGCGTACGATTGAAGTCCACAACCAAGAAGCAGAACAGGGCAAACACTCCTACAAACTGGGGATGAACCATCTCGGAGACAAGGTCAGTCTGGAGACTGAAACAGGCCTTTATGCTACAGTCAAAATCATTTGGATTTGACAGTGTAATTTTTATATTATACCAAAGGTTTACTAAAGTGTGAAAGTTTCACTGTCTTTTCCTCAAAGGATAATTTTGCTTTCAAATTGGTGTGTTCCTATAAATGTTGCTATTATGGCTCTATGGGTCGTGCTAACTTTTTTTTAGCCTCCATTGTTGGAGGAGGACAAGGAAAAACCCAGTGTCCCAAGTGTCCCTCAGCTTTCCAAATAAACATTTAAAATATTTAAGCCGGCAAGTTTCCCCAGATGTAGATCCCTATAAATGGGCTATAATGGATGATCCTATTAGCTACATTCTTTGTTTACTTTGCATCAGACTTTTTCACTCTTTCATTTTAGGTGAAAGAGTGTCATACTGTTTTGTGGACATGAAGTTTTATTTATAAATTGTTTCACCCAAAGGAATTATTCAGTCATTACAAAGACGAAACCACTGAGTCTCATTGGAAGACAGAAGCCAAAAACCAGGATGCAACACAGGGCAGATCTGAACACTGCACAAACTGTAAAAACAAGGTGAGTGGACACTGAGCTAGGTCTTCATAGTCGAGGCTTGATTTGGTTTTGTGGTGCTTGGAACTCTCTTGGAATCGCTCGTCTGAGGGAGTCCTACTTGCAGTGTAATGCCTAAATCTATCTCTTTGTCTCACCTGTCTCTGTAATGTAAAGGTTTACTATAACAATTGGTCACTGGCGGCGTTACCCAAATCTATCGACTACCGTGAGAAAGGCATGGTGACTCCAGTCAAAGACCAGGTCAGAGGGCAAAGGATAATGATGACCATGATTATCTAACATGTCTGAGGCCTCACACTGTCTTCACCAAACTACTGTGCTCCACACCTCGCAGGGATCATGTGAGTCCTGTTGGGCATTCAGTGCTGCGGGGGCCCTCGAGGGACAGTTGGCCAAGAAGACGGGCCAACTGCTGAACCTCAGTCCTCAGAACCTGCTGGACTGTGACAATCAGAGTCATGGCTGCAAAGGAGGATACATGACCACGGCCTTTGAGTATGTTGCAGAGAATGGAGGCATTAACTCTGAGGAGGACTACCCGTACATGGGAGAGGTAATGTGTTGGTAGAAAGCGAGCCTGAACTTAAACTCTTTCAGCGCTTACACTTTTAGCATCAGCATGAAACCAATAAATATATTTACTCTGACCCAGTGACATAGCCAGAAATATTGTGATTGATGGTCACATACTTAATTGAGATGAGCCTGAGCAACCCTAAATCCTAGAAATTCTGTTTACTGAATTGTTTTCCCAGTTACGTTGTGTTCAGATTCATCTGCTAGGACCTAAATGTAGACAACCAGACAGACAGGAACAATTTATTAATTTTGATAACAATCTGATATTATCATCTTATGTGTATATAGTGCCCTCTACTGGTGTCCTTTGATTTAACACTATGCTACTCCTAAGCCAAAAATTCAGTAATTAAATATATCATTCTATTAGGAGCGGCTCAGATCCACCAATGCAAACATGTCAGACCTCTCCTGTCTCCGCAGGTCAACAGGTGCCGCTACAAACCATCAGCCACTGCAGCCCAGGTCAAAGACTATAAGGAGATTGCAGAGGGGGACGAATGTGCTCTGGCTCAAGCCCTGTATCACGTGGGTCCCCTGTCTGTGGCTATCGACACCAACCATGCAAAGTTCCAGCTATACAAGAGTGGTCAGTCCCCAGCTTTGAGCTCTTGAGTTTTTTGTTAAGGTTAAAATGTGTAACTTTTCCACATTAAAATCTCTAAAAATTGGTAGACATATATATATCACTTTCAGGTTGCTGAGGAGGCATTCAATTCCCTAAATTGACACAGTTCCAAACCAACAAAACCATGACACAATATTAGAAAAATATCCAACAGTATCTGGAAAAAAAGATTTTAGTTCAACATTGCCTCTTAACTCTTAAATTCACGTTTCCTCCTATGTATTTAGGTGTTTACTACAACCCAGAAAATAAGAAAGACCTCTTGAATCACGCCATGCTGTTAGTGGGCTATGGAGAGACCGCAGAGGGGTTGAAATACTGGATTTTGAAGAACAGGTGAGATGCATCACCTGTATGAATGATGTCAGGTTGTTAATGTGGCTGCCAGGTGAGTGAGAACCTGTGGTCCAATGATGATCAACACACTCTCTGATCTCTTACAGCTATGGGACGGATTGGGGCGAGGAGGGTTACATCCGGATTGCACGTGACCGTGGCAACCACTGTGGTATTGCCAGCAGCGCCAGCTACCCGGTCCTGTGAAAGGGGAAATAGAGGGAACAGAGGAAAATAAAGGGTGATGAAGGGATCATGTGAAAGGTTGATATGACCAACCGATTTAATGTAGTTTTCTTCTGAATAAAACAGGCTCTTCCGAAAGCTGAATCCATCCTGTCAGATTGTTCGTACCATTTACATCAACACTTTCAGTTTCTGCCTCTGTTTCCCTCCTCAGACTGTCTTTAGCCAAAACAAACAGATTCAAACTCTCCCTCCTAAAACCTAGCAGGTAAAAGTAGATGTTGTTTAAACTTATTGTCGACTAACTTATATTTCTGTTCTGTTTTTATTCACTTATCAGAAATTAAAATTAAAACCATTACCTTATTAAATCAGATAAAAGTAGAAGGTCCCTCAGAGAGAGCAGACTTCCGCCGAGGCCAATGTCAAATAAAATGCACCAGACTTCAGAGAATAAATTTTAGATTCATAGTAAATGATCCGGGTCTGCCCCATCCCCCCTCCACCCAGTTCAAATCAAATCACCGTGTGAGACATTTTCTGTGAGGCGTCCATGTTTATTAATTTCATACATGTTCACACTCACTAACACGGTAACTCTTGAGGTAAAAGGCTATAAATGTACGAGTGCTAATGATAAAACCCTTCAGTACACAGGCTGACAGGCACTCGTCTAGTGGTTGTTGTTGGTACAGTCTGAGGTTACATCATTCCTGTTAGATATTTAATAATCAGCACGTGTTTAATGTTCATGTTAAAATGGAATGTGACAGTGACACTTTAATTTTGTTCATACATCAGAAATAAAAACAAAAAACAAAAAAGTGTGTAAAAATACAAATAGAAATGACATGCTGTTAATATGAGAAGATTTTAAAATGTTCGTGTGTCCCTTCAGTTCAGCCTCGTCCTCTTCATATGCTCATGGTGACCTGGATGAACTACAGAGAGAAATATACACACTGTTATTCTGCTGCTCTCAATCCTGTTTCTAGAAACAAACCACAGCGTTTGGTGAATCATCAGATACATTTATCACAACAGCTCAGTAGAAATGATAACTTTGTGCATTCATCTTTACAAGTGAAACCTCTCACATTACATGAATTTGATGCTTTGTTAATATAATATAATATAATATAATATAATATAATATAAGATTGTATTAGTCCCAACAAAGCAGCAAAGTGACAGTACAAGAAAGAAAAAATAATATAAATAATAAATAATAGATAATATAATATATACAAAAGATATTTACAAAAATGTACATGATATCAGCAGAGATCAGTAAAGGGCTTTTTAAGTAACCTTAGTTAAATATAAAGTGTGGGCATATCATGTATTTTCCAGCTCTGTAAAGTCACAGAACAAAGTTTATTACATCCTCAGAAAAAACATTTTCTCCTGCTTGAAATCTGCATCACGTCATGTTACTAAAAAAAACCTATTTGTTTTAACAGTAACTGCCACAGTGGTTCAGTCAACGCCTGCATATTGACCTCACACACTTTATCTGCAGCGTTCAGTCAGGAGGAAGTGTAATAGAGGAACTGTGCTCATACACTGGCTTTACATACAGAGTGGAAACTTAGCACTAGCATGTTGCTGCTAACCTCAGTGACTTTGCTGCCTGGTTATAGTCGGGATGATTATAGTCGAGTGAAGCTCAGACAGTGTTTTCTACCACAGTTGTATATTTAGCTCCCAACAGTTTTCCTGTGCGACCTCATGACAGAGTCAGAAGTGTCTGATCGAAGGTTTCTGAGGCGACATTGAAGCTTTAGAAAAATGACAAACTTACATCATCGTAGTGAAATGAGGCGCTGCCAGTTTGGTTCGTGTCTCTCCTTCGGAACTGGTCTGAAAAACACACACAAACAAAAACAGCCAAGTTGATTCACTGTTTAAACACTTTAAACGTCCCGTATTTTACATAAGAAGATATATATAACCAAAAACCAAAAACCAATCAGAAGAGAGGAGGCTCTGAGCCTCTTTTCTGATTGGCTGACTGTTTTCTGACTGATCCAATCTAAATATAGCAGATTTCAGGTGAAAACACTCAGAGAAAATAAATCCTGCAAAGGTCCAGACGGTGGGTCCAGGTGGGCGGGGCTTGGTGACTGCTTTGTTGTGACATCACAAAGTTCCAGAAGTCCTGACGGCTGGTTTTAAGGCTCAGTTTCTGAATACAGGCTGTGTGCATTTCTCTGTGGACTGAGGCTTTGATACTTTCACAGTATTAATATAGAAGCTAGAGCTGATCTATAATCACACTACACATGGACACAGACCTTTAGACTATATTTATTACCACAACACAGATGTTTAGCCTTGTAGTGATAGCGAGAGCCTCTCAGGGTCTGTCTGTGGGATGTTTGTAGGTGTACAGTCTCCAACAGTTTCTGTCACATGCTCATGAAAACACCCACAGTTCTCAGTGTCTTTCCAAATGTCATGTCTGTCCACAGCTTCTGGAAGAGCGGCGCTACAGGCGACCCCAACAGCCTCCATCAGCTGCTGTACTCATTAAATAAAACTCTTCTCCCACTGTCAATGCTGCAGTGGTGGTAATGAACACACGCCACTCTGTTCATGCGCTCACCAGTCAGGGCACGGAGTCTCACACTGCAGCTCACAAAGTCATCGAAGGGGATCCTGCCGTGTATGCTGTAGCGCTTCATGATGCAGTTCATGGCCTGAGGGCTCAGATTGTAACCTGCAACACAACAACATGTTAGGCACCTCTCAGATATGTTACAAAAATGAAAGCCAGCATGATATGGCCCTGAGAGCAATTAACTCCCAGCATAAAGAATAGTCAGTACGTTTTATTACAGCTCAAACCTTTCACTGTTTTAATTCCTGGTTTTACAGCAATAAGTTTATGAGAATAAAATCTGTTTTAAGAGAAAGTAACGACAGGTTGTCGTGTCCGTTTGCGCGTACCCATGGTGGTAATGGCCTGCTGCATCTCGTGGCCCTCCACTGTCCCACTGTGGTCCCGGTCGAAGGAGGCGAAGGTGTTCTTCCAGCCATTCAGAGCCTGCCACAGCTCCCTGAACTCAGCAAAGCCCATGGAGCCAGACATGTCCCTCTGAGACACCACCGTCAGTCAAGGATCCAACACAGACAACATGGAAGGTTTAACGAGGGGAAAACTATGAGATGCAACATCTGGTGGAAACACTGAACCCAGAGGAGTGGAGGCTACTATCATTTAAAACATGCTCTGCAAGTCTGTGCTCCTTACAAACAAAAGGAGAGAAATCTGAACAAAGTCAAATGCCAAAGGAAGATTTTGTCCAAAGAACCCTTGTTAAATGTAATCCAGCAGCAGGTTTGTGTCGGCAGACTCGTGCCCTGCAGCTGGTGATGATTGATGAGTGAGTGAGTAATGATTCTGTGACTGACTCAGTTAATCTGTCATTAATCTACGTCTCAGTCTTGTTTGGCTGAAGGGTGAAGGATACGTCCAGCATGCTGATCATCAGTCTGCAGGTGTCCAGGCTGAAGGCTGTGAAAGGAAAACACAGAATGTGAGCAACAGGCCGAGACGACGTCCGCACCGCGCACGTGGACAAATCCTAAAGCACGCATATAGATCGTGTCTGTGTGTCTTAAGGAGACAGAGTCAGTTATCGTTCTGTGCAAAAACCCACAAGAATCCCAGAGGTCACAGTGAGAGGTGAAAGAACACAACACACTCTTATTCCATTCAACCCAGAGTGTTTGATTTCCTGTCGCCACAACGACTCTTTCCCCACGTTTCCTGTCCACCTCAACCGTCACACACACACACACACACACACACACACACACACACACACACACACACACACACACACACACACACACACACACACACACACACACACACACACACTAAGCAGAAGTAGTGTGTGTTAACAGTGTCTTGATAGAACAGGTCTGAATGCACCAGAGAGAAAACCAGGGAGTCTGTAACATCTGTTCTGGTGTTGTCATGTCGTGTCACTTCAAAAGATGTGTAATACACTGAGGCTGTGCTTTAGACTGGATTTTAGGTGATGTTACAGAAAAAAAAGGGGGAACAAATTCATTTTCAAAGCTGCTGATGTGGATTCTTTGAATATCAATCAATTTGTAATGTCTGTTAAACGTCACTTTATTCTGGAAGGATATAATTGCAACCACAAGGACGCTTTGAATTTCTCCGTGCCTGTACAACACATACCAGTGAATTTTTTTTTTTTGCATTTGAAAAGATGTAATTATATTAAAAAATGAAAATATACCTAATGTTTTAAAATGTTTTAAAAGGAAATGATAGTTTTTTCACATTAAGGCTTGTTTGCGATCAAGCAACAGGTAGAATTAAAAGGAAAGAGAGACAGATGGTGAATCGACATGTGACCTTCCTGCTTTCAGTCCAATCCTGAATGTTCGATCGTTATGATTAAAATAAAAAGTGCTCTGAGAGCGTATTGTTACGGGTCGGACGTGGGCCGCCAACATTTTTGAGATTTTCATGTGGGCCATGAGCTGGAAAAGGTTGAGAGCCACTGACTCAGACGTCTTTGTGTGTTTTCATGCGTTTTGGGGATAATGAGTGTTATAACCTGTAATGTTTTACCTGACAAAGACCTCTCAATGTTTAGAAAAGTGGCTTCATTCATGCACCATTCGATGCTCTCAGTGCACGGTGGGCCACAGTAAACAATAGCATGGGTCTGGTGTTCTTACGCTGGTATGAGCCAGAGATGCCGGACTGCGTGAGGCAGCGCTGCAGCTCGTCCGCTGAGATCTGTCCGTCCTGTCAGAGTCAGACAAACACAATGTCAGAGCGCAGGCAGATAACAATCAGCTGCTGCTGCACAAAAGCTTCAGAGAGGCATCGACGGCCAGTGTTGACTGGTACTGCTGTTCACAGATTTGGAGCACGCTGTATAATCAGGCTCAATGATACAAAGGTGAACTGTCTCTTGTGTTTTGGGACAGTGAAACCAGACACTGTGGGGACGGGGAGGGGGGGTCACTGCTCAGAGCATTGATGATGTGTAATCTGCCCCCTAAACACTCGATTACCAGCTCGCCCCAAAGTAAAGTGTTTCCTGAGAGTGTGTGCAGGTGAGTTACCTGTCCTGCTACAGCTGAAAAATATCCGTAGAGAGGATCCTGCTGCTGAGAAGAAACGGAGAGACGGAGAAGAAACAGGAAAGATTTAGTGTCTCAGTCTGTTGTTGTGCAGCATTTCAGTCATTTTCTCAAATAAACGTCATAAAACAAAACTCCAACTCAATGATTCATAATCACTGCCAGCTGCCTGCAGGTCTGAGTGTGTCAGCGAGCACAGAAAAGACCTGGAGTCACTGAGCTGATTATCTGGTGTTTGTGTGTGTGTATGTGTGTGTGTGTGTGTGTGTATGTGTGTGTGTGTGTGTGTGTGTGTGTGTAATCAGTATACATTGCTTTCGTGTTATTAATTGCACAAGACATCTGGTTCTAAGCTACAAGAGTTTACAAAAGATTCCTCCAGAAAAAAAGTCCACAAACTAAACAAATCAAATCAAGTTTCCTTTAAAACAAGAATCTTCTGTAAACCCACGAGGACACAAACATCTGCCTGATGAGTGGTCGTAGTTTTTAAGTAGGGCTGCACAATTAATCGAAATATAATCGAAATCACAATATCCAAATCACAGGAGCTGCAATTTTTTTTGATGAAAGTAAAATGTGTCACACTGTTGTGCACTGTTAGCACCATGAGTGTTGTGGTGCTACAGAGACGCCCTGGTCTACACATTTTTTCACATATTGTGCAGCTCTATATTTAAGCGCATCAAATGTTTGTTTTATTCTGAAAGGTAACTTGTAGCTATGGCTGTCAAACAAATGTAGTGGAATAATATATATATGAAAGTGCAATTTTGACTTACTTGTCGTTACTCCACTACATTTATCTAACACTTTTAGTTTTTACAGCTAATACCTATGACCTACAGGGTGCGGGGACAAAATCCACAGTCCAGTTTCAGAGGTTTATCTGAGGCTGAGGCTTCAGGAGTCTCAGACAAATACAGATTAGTAAAAAGTTGAACTGCTGAAGAGAAACAGAAACAAAAAGAGGGACTTTTACCCTGTAAAAAAAAGACTCTGGAAGATCTTCACATGACCTGTCTAACTGAGTCCAATGAAGCCTCATATTAACTACAGATAAACTGTGGATTTTGTTTCCCCATCATTTACATTAAAAGTGCATTAGGAAAAGACATTTTAATGGCCAGTGTTGTTTTCATATGAGCAGCTGACAGACTTGAAAACTGTGACCATCCCCATTTAATACAGCTCAATAACACTATATAATAACCAGAGGCGTTAACAGGTGAATTTAGAAACATTCACACAAATACACCTGAAGCCTTGTGTATTTTTAAAGGAACTAAACACCCAGTCTGAATGATTCCAACTAACTTCCGGACTGTTCGGACAGGACTCTCCCGGGACACTGTTGGGTGAACATTTTAACCGGTATTTCACCACGTTTTAACGGTTTCTTTCTTACCGCTGGGGCTCCACCGGGACCGGCGCCGTATCCTGGATAGGCCATTTCTTTCCCAGTTATTATTGAACGGAATGTACGACCGCGATTGTCCCTGCGTAAACTCGGAGGGTGTGTCCGCGGATGTCCACAAACACCAGGAGACGATGAGAGCCGAGGATATAAAAGTGCAGGAGATTAACCGGAAGCGGCGAGGCGGGTTATTAACGTTTATAAACTCAAATTGGAGGAGGGAGCTAAAAAGGAAACCACCGGTAGAACCTGAAAACCCTCTTCGGGACGTCCAGGTTGTTAAATATCACCAGGGTGTGGCCACGTGACCTCAAATCGACCAATAGGATCAAAGCTCTGGCAACAACCAGAAGAGCAGAGATCGAAGAAGATTAAAAAAAACATACACCAGACTTCGTAGAAAAAACAAATAAATTCACACAAACTGATCCGGATCTGTCCCAAAATTTTATGGGTTTTTCCCAGATCGAAACTCCATCCCTCCAACAAGTTCGGCGTAAATCGGCTGTGCACTTTTTTGTGTAATCCTGCTGTCCTTAGCGGAGGAAATAAAAAAAAACAAATAGACATGCAGAAACACACATATTCCAATTTAATAGGTACATCTATAAAATGTAACAGTGCTGCAGTAAATCCTATTATTGTCATTAATGTTCACTGTTTCTCAAAGCTGTTTTAGAGACATGTTGATGATACTATGACATCATGTAGTGTATTAGCAACATTATGGTGTTTCTGCTCTTTAGCCTACCCACTGTCATATAAATAGGGGGGACAAAATAACAGAAACACCTGTCAGGATAAGCTAACATATTTAAACAGCCTCCATTAATAGATACAACTAAAACTGAGCATTTCTTGCAGGAATGTTGTATTAGACTGCATTAGCTATAGGTGCACATGAAAAACTGGTAACTGAATATAACCACCAGGGTTCTTACATATTTGAAATACTTATAGTTAAGTGAAGAGTATAAACATATTACAAAGGAAATCAGGTACAGTATTATTAAGACTAATAAGCCATTGCGAATATACTTTTTCTACAGGTTCAACAAATAAATTCAGGGGAATCAAGAAGAATTCACATGACTGATGGCACACTGTTAATCTACAACACAGTTTTATGTATAAAACCCCAAATCCCAATTTAGGGCTTTACAATCCGCAAAGCACAGGCCTACTATAAACGGTGGTCTCATATGTAAATTGTAATAACCACAAACTACAACTATCAGTACAATAAAAAAAAAAATGCAATAAAATGTAAACAAATTTATTGTGTACACTGTAAAAAAAAATGTAATTTTACAGGAAATGCTATGTAATTTTTTTTACAGATTTTTCCTGCGTAGGACAATGCCGAAGTTACTGACTAATTATTAAAAACCAGGATGTGTTGTGTGAGCAGATGCTGCTAACTGCTGTAACTGAACTTTTGTTGTGTAATTGTAACAATGAGCATTCAAACACATCAAACTAACAATATATTAAAAACACATGCAAAAACAGATTTTGCATAAATAAATCATAAAGTACAGTAGAATGTATGGCAGAGCTGTTGGATTGGATTCCATTAGATTGCACAGGTGTACCTAATGAAGTGGCCGGTGAGTGCACAGTATGCACGCATACAGGGACCAAAATTAGCACCATTTACCAGCCAAATGCTGGTAAAATATGCAAGTAGCTGGTAGACTTGCCTCACTCCCCAGCCAAAAAAGACAATGGCAATCCACTGAGGTGATGGTTAAATTTGAACACTATTTGGTTAAAAAAGGTAATTTTGCACTTTTTTGCATATGAGACCAATATGACATGCAAAATAGCAAAAACTACACATTTCAACAGCAAAAAGCAACACATTTCTACTTTTAGGTAAACATTCAAATAATTGTCATGTTATAGTTATGTGGGAAATGTCAACGTGCAAAGCTCCAAATGTGCAGAGCCCGGGCTAGGACTGCACAATATTAGAAAAATATTTCCCTCTGTGATATATAGCCTATTGCAGTATGAAAAAAATGCAGTAAATTTCACCAAATACATGCAGTGTGTTATTCATGTACAGATATACAGCTCATTTCCAGGTTGTGGTAGGTGAGTAGTGCAGCTGCTTTGGTTGTTTGATAAATTGAACATTGGGAACTGACCAAACTCTGTGTATCCAAAAACCCTTAAACTGGACTAAATTATGTAACATCAGTGGGGCTGTTCTTGTAAATTTGTCATGGAAATTTTACCACTTTCTACGACTTTTTCACAAAATATTGCAACAATTTTTGCTCAGAATAACAGAGATGACCAAAAACCTGATGATCACTTTGGCTAAGCTCCAGAGATCCTGTGTATATATATGTGAAACAAAATGTGACAAAATGTGAAAAAAGTCAAGGAGTGTATGTGTATATATATATATATATAATATAATCTGTATTTTTACAGTCATTCAGAGGTGGGTAGTAACGCGCTACATTTACGTTTACTTGAGTAACTTTTGGGATAAATTTTACTTCTAAGAGTAGTTTTAATGCAACATACTTTTTACTTTTACTTGAGTATATTTGTGAAGAAGAAGCGCTACTCCGTTACATTTATCTACATTACGCTCGCTACTCGCTACATATTTTTATCGATCTGTTAATGCACGCTTTGTTTGTTTTGGTTTGTCAGAGACCTCCAAAGTAGGATCCAGCGCATGACTGCGGTTCACCAATCAAACGCAGTCACTGGTGACGTTTGACTCCGTTTCACCAATCAAACAGAGCCAGGCGGTCACATGACTAACTGCACACGAACTTTCAGCGGCAAACACCGGCAGCAAAGAAGCAGAACACAATGGCAACAACGAGCGCTTCGCGACAATTTTAATGCATTATTATTTAATTTATTATTGTTTTAGTTGCTTAAGAGATATTCTTGGCTCTGAATTTGTTCATTGCTATTTTTATGTTTTTGTGCATTATTTGTTGCCGTCATCATTAAACGAACAGGTTACTCATCAGTTACTCAGTACTTTCCACTCAGTTTTTTCACAACATACTTTTTACTTTTACTCAAGTAAATATTTTGGTGACTACTCTTTACTTTTACTTGAGTAATAAAATTTTAAAGTAGCAGTACTCTTACTTGAGTACAATTTCTGGCTACTCTACCCACCTCTGCTCTTGATCCTCCTCTCGCTGTTTCCTTTGATTCGAAGTCCGTTCACAAACAGGGTCGNCGGGCGGCTAGCTCTGCTTGCTGGGCGCAATGCCTGTGCTGGGGGGGCGCGAGCTAGCCGCCGGGCGGCTAGCTCTGCTTGCTGGGCGCAATGCCTGTGCTGGGGGGGCGCGAGCTAGCCGCCGGGCGGCTAGCTCTGCTTGCTGGGCGCAATGCCTGTGCTGGGGGGGCGCGAGCTAGCCGCCGGGCGGCTAGCTCTGCTTGCTGGGCGCAATGCCTGTGCTGGGGGGGCGCGAGCTAGCCGCCGGGCGGCTAGCTCTGCTTGCTGGGCGCAATGCCTGTGCTGGGGGGGCGCGAGCTAGCCGCCGGGCGGCTAGCTCTGCTTGCTGGGCGCAATGCCTGTGCTGGGGGGGCGCGAGCTAGCCGCCGGGCGGCTAGCTCTGCTTGCTGGGCGCAATGCCTGTGCTGGGGGGGCGCGAGCTAGCCGCCGGGCGGCTAGCTCTGCTTGCTGGGCGCAATGCCTGTGCTGGGGGGGCGCGAGCTAGCCGCCGGGCGGCTAGCTCTGCTTGCTGGGCGCAATGCCTGTGCTGGGGGGGCGCGAGCTAGCCGCCGGGCGGCTAGCTCTGCTTGCTGGGCGCAATGCCTGTGCTGGGGGGGCGCGAGCTAGCCGCCGGGCGGCTAGCTCTGCTTGCTGGGCGCAATGCCTGTGCTGGGGGGGCGCGAGCTAGCCGCCGGGCGGCTAGCTCTGCTTGCTGGGCGCAATGCCTGTGCTGGGGGGGCGCGAGCTAGCCGCCGGGCGGCTAGCTCTGCTTGCTGGGCGCAATGCCTGTGCTGGGGGGGCGCGAGCTAGCCGCCGGGCGGCTAGCTCTGCTTGCTGGGCGCAATGCCTGTGCTGGGGGGGCGCGAGCTAGCCGCCGGGCGGCTAGCTCTGCTTGCTGGGCGCAATGCCTGTGCTGGGGGGGCGCGAGCTAGCCGCCGGGCGGCTAGCTCTGCTTGCTGGGCGCAATGCCTGTGCTGGGGGGGCGCGAGCTAGCCGCCGGGCGGCTAGCTCTGCTTGCTGGGCGCAATGCCTGTGCTGGGGGGGCGCGAGCTAGCCGCCGGGCGGCTAGCTCTGCTTGCTGGGCGCAATGCCTGTGCTGGGGGGGCGCGAGCTAGCCGCCGGGCGGCTAGCTCTGCTTGCTGGGCGCAATGCCTGTGCTGGGGGGGCGCGAGCTAGCCGCCGGGCGGCTAGCTCTGCTTGCTGGGCGCAATGCCTGTGCTGGGGGGGCGCGAGCTAGCCGCCGGGCGGCTAGCTCTGCTTGCTGGGCGCAATGCCTGTGCTGGGGGGGCGCGAGCTAGCCGCCGGGCGGCTAGCTCTGCTTGCTGGGCGCAATGCCTGTGCTGGGGGGGCGCGAGCTAGCCGCCGGGCGGCTAGCTCTGCTTGCTGGGCGCAATGCCTGTGCTGGGGGGGCGCGAGCTAGCCGCCGGGCGGCTAGCTCTGCTTGCTGGGCGCAATGCCTGTGCTGGGGGGGCGCGAGCTAGCCGCCGGGCGGCTAGCTCTGCTTGCTGGGCGCAATGCCTGTGCTGGGGGGGCGCGAGCTAGCCGCCGGGCGGCTAGCTCTGCTTGCTGGGCGCAATGCCTGTGCTGGGGGGGCGCGAGCTAGCCGCCGGGCGGCTAGCTCTGCTTGCTGGGCGCAATGCCTGTGCTGGGGGGGCGCGAGCTAGCCGCCGGGCGGCTAGCTCTGCTTGCTGGGCGCAATGCCTGTGCTGGGGGGGCGCGAGCTAGCCGCCGGGCGGCTAGCTCTGCTTGCTGGGCGCAATGCCTGTGCTGGGGGGGCGCGAGCTAGCCGCCGGGCGGCTAGCTCTGCTTGCTGGGCGCAATGCCTGTGCTGGGGGGGCGCGAGCTAGCCGCCGGGCGGCTAGCTCTGCTTGCTGGGCGCAATGCCTGTGCTGGGGGGGCGCGAGCTAGCCGCCGGGCGGCTAGCTCTGCTTGCTGGGCGCAATGCCTGTGCTGGGGGGGCGCGAGCTAGCCGCCGGGCGGCTAGCTCTGCTTGCTGGGCGCAATGCCTGTGCTGGGGGGGCGCGAGCTAGCCGCCGGGCGGCTAGCTCTGCTTGCTGGGCGCAATGCCTGTGCTGGGGGGGCGCGAGCTAGCCGCCG